AAATACGCAAACTGAAACTATGTACAACAATCGAAACAAAAAAAAAACTCAAAAACCCAGTGTGCATAAATTTCCTGCACTAAAACAAACATAAAACAAGCACAAGTGTCCCAAATAATGAGCGGCAATTGGCGGGGATGAGAGAGGCCAGCGGGATGTACATTTTATATGTTTTATTTTATTTTATTTTTTATTTTATATAATTATATTATATGTTACATGAATTTTAAAACTTATTTTTAGTTCAATGCAAGTATTTTGTGTACCGCGCTTTTATTATCAGTTATGTATTTTTTTGAAAGAATCTTAGATTTAATAAATAATTTACTTGCAAATTATAAATAATTTATAGTTTTGTCGTTATTATGATCGTCGTACTTCAGTAACAGGTTCCTGATTCGTTGTGGAGCGCGACACGTCGTAGCAAAAAATACCAAGCTCCAAAATCGCGTTACTCAAATACCGACACATCACTACTCACAATGCAATCTCGTTATGAGAATTTGAACATGAATTTATATGAGTTGATTAAAATATAATTTCTGTAGACTTTAAAATAAAATGCTACATGATAAAAACTAGAGTGAATATTAACCCCTGCCAAAAAAATTCCGACCCCTTAGCATATCAACAACAGAGTATCAATATGCTCCCCTCCGGATCAAAGTGCATCGAAAACAGATTAGCAAAAAATCGAGTAGGCGGGCTGAAAACCACCCTTGAATGAGGGGCGGGCAGGGTGGTAATTTGATAATGCACGTCGATCGACACTACGGAGCCCCTGCCGCTGCCGCCCCCCTGGGAGCCCCCGAGCTGCCGCAAGGGATGGGGGCAGCACGCCCTTTGATTTACACTAATTTTAAACATAACATCTGATCTAACCTTATTAAAAATTAATCGGGAAATAGTGATAACAGTAGTCCGGCGCGCGAGGGTCTCGCGAGGGTTGACCCCTTTGCCGGCGAAATAATAGAAAAAAAGGACACTGACGTGGATAAAAAGAAATTGATGAGGGGTTGATGATGGGCGATTGTTCAGTTTCTATTTGGCTGTTAAGTGGTGCTTGGTTTCGTTTGTGAAATGTAAAATTAAAGTAAATATTATTAAACTATTTTATATTTTTAAATTATTTTATAAAACAGATTAGTTATATCTTTAAACAAAAATGTATAACCATATTTAGAACTCGTTTGAGTTCATTAACTATTGAATGTCATTCAACTAATTTAAACTAATACGGAACGATAATTATCTGAAATTATAATCTCGTCAAAAACGTATGTGTAAAAAAAGAGTGTAAAAAAAGTCTCGCAACACAATTTTTCCACTACAATTTTTCCGAAAGTTGTGAGATCTCATGTCAAATAAAGTCAGTTTATTTTATTTAGTCTTTCTTTAAGCATCTATTCAACAATTTTGTTATAATAGTTAGTATCAATATAACTTATCTTTATTTCTGTAATAATAATAATGACTTGGCAATTGCACAATATGATATTCTATTCTAATTAATAAACTTCATTTTTAAGGGCACTGTTTAGAATTTTTAAAATTACATATAGAATTTTAAAAATAAACACAGAGTAATCGAAATGGTAGATTTTATTTATGGTGCTCTGCAATTGCCATGTTATTATAATTATTACAGAAATAAAGATGTCTAATATTGATACTAACAATTTATAACTATAATTATATAATAATTGTCGTGGAAGAATAATTGTAGTGGAAGAATTGTGTTGCGAGACTTGGATTTTTTTACATTCTATGCTTTTAACATTGAAAATATTTCTGTTACCCTATATATGGGAGCCCAAATCGAATTAAAATGCTACATTTGCCACACCATGACGTCATTCCTATACCCTTGTATATACAAGGGTATAGGAAATCTCGGCGCAGCGGCGGCAGTCGGCCAGCGCGCGCAAAAACCATTACATCGCTAATTGTTTATTGATATATCTTTATTAGTTTAAAAGCAAAAAATATGGGGTTTGCTTTGTTACCTTGTCAAGACATAAGCGAAACTTATAAATTGTTTCTTTTTTTCATTTAGGCCTTCGTTTTTCGTTAAATGAAAGTTACATTTAAAAAGTCCATTTTAAACCAAATTTTTGCATGATTGAAATGAGTTATTCATGTTTAAAGTTTTTTCGGTCATAAGCGCTAATGGAAATGTTTTTTTGTAAATAATTATAAAAAATTACTCCCTACGAGGACTTTATTTTGTACTGGATCAAAAAATAAGTATTTGTTTTCTCTATACGGTGGTATTAATATATCGATTTTTGATGACAGTGTCCTTTTTCCCGGTCAAATTTTATACTTCTTTTAGAATAAGGGTCCCCATATCACGTACTTGTACTTCCTTCCCTGAAAAATTCAGCTTGTGAGACCGAAGTGGGATACATATATAAAATCTCAAAGGGTTTTTTTGTTACATCCATCCCGCCGAAACAGCCTCACCAATCTTGATGATTCTTTTTTTAAATGAACGGTATATATGTCTAGATTTGTTATGAAGTATTATTATATCGTTTAATGGGTATTCCTTTATGTAAAACGAATAAATATTAAAACATACCTGAAAAACACCTACACAAAATACCTCCAGAAATCAATTATTTGTCATTGTCAGTGGTGTGTCAGTTAGATTATAGAGATTATATATCAAGTTTTTAGATATTTTAGGGGTCAGTTCATACCACCAGCTTTAGATACATCAATATTAGCACAAAGATTCGTTTAAAGGACATTAGTGATTAGTGAATTAGTTATGCAAAGCGATTTTAGAAAATTCATCCTCTTAGAGTGTAAAATTATGTCGAACGATTTGTTGGATGAAAATCATTTACTATCTGGTCTAGAAGAATGAAATTCTACAGAAAGAAGAATAAGAAGAGATTTTTGAAATTCATCAACCAAATAGGTTTGCCTTTAACAGTTAAAAAATTATATCGTAAAGTGTAATTTTCCGTAAGAATTCTTTATCTATCATCGATCATGATCTGTCATCATGTTAACCTGATGTTTTGTATCTTAATTTCTTTTTTTGCTTGTTTGTTTTACGGATAGGTGCGATCGCATAATTATTATTGATTATTGATAATGTTTTTTTACTGTTAACATTACTACTTTTTCAATGAATGTTTAAATCTGTTGTTTTTTGTTAAGTTCGTTATTTAAACATAGGTATGTAATACACTCATATTAACACTAATCATATTTTTACGTTTTTATTCATCATTTTCAATGCCCCCCCGGTTGCATCTTTGTAAAGGACTGTGAATTTTTTGATGGGAGATCTCATTTCTTTTTGTAGGTTATCCTTCTATTATCTGTAAAGCTTGTTCGAATATGGCAAAAACCTAACAGTGCCTAACATTTAGAAAATACAACTTGGTGGTGACAAAATTTGACAAAATTCAGATTAGTTCGATTAGTTCAAATCGGCTTTTCCAAAATTGTTCAAGTTTGGTATATGTATTTAGCATAATGCTGACCTTTAAAAAACCTGTTGTACGACTTTGCTGTAAAATAAATAGGGTAGCCATTATTTGCATATGTAGTTCAAAATTTGCACGGGATTTCCTATGTTTCCGGCGCTGATGCATCACCTGGTATAACAAGTGCTAAACATTTTTTAAATTATTTGATTTTAAAATATCCTTTCTGGGATTAAATTAGAATTATCCATATAACATATTTAATGAGAGTACTTATACAATATATTATACTAAAAGGTAGCTGGTACTATTTTTTGTCATCTTAAGCCAAAGTTCCCTTTAAATTTTACTTGCAGATGCACCTTCTGACTAGGCAGAATAAAAAATTAAACCCTCGTAAAGCTCTTTCTTGTATTAAGACCGAGAATTTACGAGCTACTTAACTACGAATTAAAAAAAACTTATCACCGAGCTATCTACACTGAGAGACAGTCCTTTTTAAACAATAGTATTAAAGTGGCAGACAATCATGAAAAAATATGGTAATTGTAAAATTTTAATTTTAATTTTCTTCCACAACGTTTCTGAATTCTAAAACTATCGACCTTATAATATTAAAGTAGGGTTGCCAACTACTACAGAATAGTTCCCATTTTGATCGTACTGTATTGAATGAATTCTCTCACGTATTGAAAAAGTTATTTTTTACACACCAAACTCAAAACCTAAAAAATAATCGTCTATCGCACAATGTATGATATGTTTAATAAAATTGTTAATCTGTGAACAATGTGTCATGTCTACTTGTTCTCACAGAAAAGAAATATTTATGGATGCGATAAACATGTTTGGCTGATTTATATTTACTTATACGAGGGTGGTCTGAAAAGTTTCCGACCTAACAAAGATAGAAAACATTTTTTCTGAATTTTTTTTCTTATTTTTCAATATAGCCCCCTTGTAACTCTACACACTTTTCCCAGCGATGCTCCCATCTCTGTAACCCGTCCAAATAGTACTCGGCGTTTTTCTCTGCAAAATAGTGGTTCACGAAGGTGATTGCCTCTTCATTTGACGAAAATCTCTGTCCTCCGAGTGTAATTTTCAAATGAGAGACAAAAAGAAGTCGCTAGGGGCTAGATCTGTTAAGTAAGGCGGATGGTCAAGCAGTTCAAACCGTAATTCGTGGATTTTCGCCATGGCAAACGCTGATGTGAGACGGTGCGTTATCTTGGTGAAACAGTATTTTCTTTTTCTGTAAATGTGGCCGTTTTTACGCAAGTTCTGCTTTTACCTTGTCAAGTAATGATGCGTAGTATGCTCCTGTGATGGTTTTTCCTTTTTGAAGATAATCAATTAAAATAACTTCATCACTATCCCAAAAAACAGTAGCCATCACTTTCTCAGCCGAAATAACAGTTTTTGCTTTTTTCTGGAGCCGGTTCTCCCTTTGCCGTCCACTGTTTGGACTGTATTTTTGTTTCTGGTGAATAGTGGTGTATCCAATTTTCATCTACAGTAATTAATCGACGCCAAAACTCGGATTTATTGCACCTAAACTGCACCAACATAGCGTTGGAAATGTTCATTCGAACACGTGAGCAAACGCGGCACCCAGGGTGCGGACAGCTTTCTCATGCCTAAATCTTGATTTAATATGTAACAAACACGTTCTTTTGATATGTTCATAACCTCTGCTATTTCTCTCACTTTAATTCGGCGGTCGTCTAGCACCATTTGGTGAACTTTGGCGATGTTATCGTCGGTAGTTGCAGTTTTTGGACGTTGCGAACGTTCATCGTCTCCCAAGCTCTTACGGCCACGTTTAAATTCAGCTGCCCAAAATTTCACTGTGGTAAATGATGGTGCTGAGTTCCCATACACAGAATCCAATTCATGTTTAATTTTTGTGGGCGTATTGCCTTTCAAAAGCAGATATTTAATGACAGCTCGATACTCGATTTTGTCCATTTTCACATAAACACTCAGATCAACTCACTCAAACGACTGTTACATAACAACTGCGCATCCAAAATGGTTGAAACTTTGGTGAATAACTGTCAACAGATGAACAATGAAAATTCACTAGCTTTTATCTACGAGTGCTACCTTCTTCACGTTGAGGTTGGAAACTTTTCAGACCATCCTCATAATAATAGTTTTGAGCATCTTGGCATCTGTAGCTCCTAGCTCTTAGCTTCAGATGCCCGATTAACTATTGCTGAACCCTGGATAAGTTAGCTTGTTTTAAAATATATTTTCGTAGGAAATCGTTGGTGAGAAAGACCATCATCCCCATAACAACTGCATAACTTTTTGGTCAATTCTTGACAACATTTGAGAGAACTTTCAAAAAATGTTTCGCTCATGGCGCTATTTTACCCTCCCGTGCTCTATTTTTTATTTTGAAATTTTGCAACCCTGTTAGAGCCAGGCATTTATCAATAAGTAACAGACTTGGAAGGTTGTCCACTTTACGTACCAGGCACTAATACTTTTTGTGGTTGCTATATTGTAAAAATGTCCATACTTGGATTGCTAAAGGTGTTATTATTGTTTGCAATAAAGACTGCTTATTTAGTATAACAAATTCCAATAATATTAAATAATGTCATTTCAGCAAATTGGCAATACCTCTCTTAGAAATTGGGATAGTTCTTAGTTCGTTCGATTCAGTTGACTAAAGAAGAAAAGTTCAATAATTTGCTTGCTCAAACATGTACCAACCTATAGTCATGGTGCTGGACGTAATTGCTACAGTAGTTGCTATATGAAACACCTTCGTTGCTATATGAAAATTGACCCAAACAATATAAACTAAATACAAACAACAAGAAAAGGCAAACAACGCAAAACAAGATAAAATATGAAAACAAGCGTAATCAAGTACGAATTAAAAGAAATGGCAACTAAATGACATTAAGGTGAAACCAACGCCTAATTTTAGTGCATAAAAAAGTTAAAAAAAAAACTTTAATGATTATCCGTAGTTCGGACATTTTATAATAATAATAAAGGACTTTAGTTGTACAACTGTGCAATATATAATTATAGAAGAAAGAATAAAAAGTAATATAAGTGTACAAAAGAACGAGGTTCAGTTGAGCAGATTAGATATCTGCCCTCTGTTCAACTAACCCAAAGAGAAGAAAATATTTGTTAACAATAATACAAATTAATGAAACTAAATCTTAAGTAAATCTAGAAATATGTAAACTTAAAATTGCATAAACAGTATAAAAATATCTACATTTATTTACGGCATGAAATACAATAAAATTTTTGTAAAAGAGAAATATAGTAACAAAAATACAAAATAATACAAGCAAATTTAACATTGAACATGGTCATTACAATTATAATCCATTTATTTATGCTATCTTACCATGTGCCGAAGAACAATTCTCTTAAATGTAGCACTAGACATCCCGTTAATATTTTCGGAGAAGTCGTTTAAGTATTTTGCGATTAAATAAGAAAAGGGTCGTTTATACAAAGTAGTATTGTGACTCGGAATTGTTAGCTTTCCCTTAAATCTAATGTTAATATTATGGATGTCTGTGCGAAACCGAATTTACTCGTAAAGATATGGGGTGATGACTTGTTCATTAAAATTTTGTGGAACAGACAAAGCAGATATTATCTGATAACTAAATACCTACATAAAATTTACCGAATTTTTCAAAAAAATACAATATGATTGAAAAAAAAAACGGCGTCAGCGATAGCTATGAAATGAAGATCGCTGTCATTTTATATGTAAAATTATATGGGGAATGTCATCGATCGACATTTACAAGCCAACTGGACGCTTTTTTTCGATCATACGGTATTTGGATACATGAAAATGTTAAATAAAAATGTTTTATAATTTTTCACGTCATTTTGTCTCTTAAAACGTCCAAAATTCGGATGCATGAGCCAAGTTTAAACATTTTAATATTTTGAAGTTTACCTTTTTTTGGTTCCTAGCTTAGTCAGTAAGACTAAAAGTAAATAGTTTCTTATACTACTAGGCTGAACAATGAACAACCCATTTACAGTGACAAATGTCGAAACGAAAAATTATCTCTTTCTTCTGTAGATTAAATTTATTTTTCTATTCTCTGAATAAATTGAATAAATTATGAAGTATGTACTCTTGTAGAAAGTATCTGATTTCAGTACGCTAACATTTTTTTTTCTGTGTAGCGCAACGAAGAAGGTATATTAACAGCCCGACTTGAAAAAATTAATTCAAAAAGCGAGCTCTTAAATTCCGGCATTAGGGGCAGTTAAACGCGTACAAAGTGTCTTAGCGGCATTAAGATCCCTCTTGCGGATAAATAAGGTAATTTTTCGAGAGGGCGTGTAATTAAAAAAAAAGTTGCTTATTTGTGACACATTTGGGACGCATAAAACAGGGACAATTCGCTTGCTTGAGGGGTAAAAAAGTTGTAAACGATTGCTTTATTGTCTCCTTGTTTGGTAATTAAGGTGAAAGATAAAACAGTTTGAATGCGTAAGAGAATAAAATTAAATTTATTCTCTTTCGCAGCTTGCTTTTTGAAGGACTGATACATTTGAGACATGGTGGTACCATTTAATTCTTAACAGTTATCTAAGATGTCTCTGTTGCAACTTGTTTAATGCGCTCGTGTGCTGGCGGTACGGCACCCAGGTTTCGTTTCCATATAATATGGTGTCGATTATTATTGCTCGGTATATTGCAAGTTTCGTTTTTGTGCTCAAGTCATGATTATAGAAAACCCTGAAGAAAATGAAAAACCTTAAGGCACAAAGCTTCGTATCTTATCTTATTTTTATGTTGAACAGGCCGCCGCGCCGCACGGTGGAAAGACCCAATATAAAATGTTGGACATTGACTTAAAAATAAAATTTTAAATTAAATAATTTTGGTAGAAGATTTGAATTACTTAAAGTCCAGACCGTTATATTTTATCCAACTCAAAAAAATATTTTTAATTATATGTCTGTTTGAAAAGTTTCAAATGAAGATATTACATTGACTTAATTATGGTATTCATTTCTTGTGAAACAACCTAGTTTTATAAAAACTGGCAAAGACATTAATAATTTTTTTTAACTATACATATTAGTGCAAACGATTGTTTTCACTTTAAAATAAAAGATATATATAGTCACAAAAGTTTGGGAGAACAATTGTATATAAGAGACACATAAACATTTTTTTGCTGCTAAATACTATATTTAGTAGCAAAAAAATGTGTATGTAGAAAAATAAAAAAATGGCCAAAGTTGGCCAAGACTTTATATATATCACAAGGTAGATTAAGCCTTTCTAATAACGAAACTAATTTAACATCTTGCCCCAGCTTGCCCCCCTCTAAAAATTTCCATTTAATATATTACTAATACATGCTATACTAAAATCAAAAACCTTTTCAATTCCAATAAATTAATTTAACATTTTTAGAGTCAAATTATCTTTATTTTTTATAAATTTATTAATATTTAATTATTAATTGAATAAATACAAAATGACGCTAAAATCAAAAACAGATACAGGGTGCTACAAATATATGGAAAACTTATAAACTATTGGAAAAAGAAAGAGGGTTAAGGTGCAGTGTTGAGGTTTTTTGTTTGTAATAAAAATATTCTAGTGCGTTGATTTACTGTTATATTCTTTGCTTATAATAAAGTTATTGTACAGGGTGTCCCACTAAGAATAGCTCTCGGCTATATCTCGGAAAGTATTAGCCGTGAGGCTTGCGGAAAAAAAATATTCATAACTAAAGAGACCATGAGAAAATGCTGGAAATTATTTTCAAATTTGTAGAATGGCCGCTAGAGGGCGCCACTGCTATAAAAAAATAAGAAAATGGAGTTTTTACACAACTTTGCCTAGATAAGGGGTACTATAAATAATAGCTTCATAATCTTCAGTAAATTCTGAATATTTTTTGTTAGAACCATTTTCCCCTATCTGCCAAAATAAAGTGGTGGGGGAAGGTTAGATCTATCTTTATTTAAATATTAATAATTCCGGACTGGATCGACGGAATTCAACTAACGGGGGCTCGTTTAAAATACCGTTTCCTACTCTATATTATACCATATAAACAATAATAGTAAGCTTTTGAACGTAGATGCTAGGGGGCGCTGTCTTACAAATTAACAAACATTGCGCGTTTTTTCAAAAAAAAAAAAATAAATGCGATGGTATATGTCATTTTAGCTGATAGTAAAGAGTAATGAAAGCTTAAAAAGTCAGTGAAAACCGCATCTTGATATCTTCTTTCAAATCGAAGATATTAGCAAAGTTATATTAAATAGGAAAATATATGTAAGCCCTTAATTACCATATTTTTATAACACGGTATCAGTAGTCTTAGATTTCAGTGGTAAAATCTAAAGCTATTTCTTTTTAAAAAGATCAAAACTAAAACATTCCACGACAGTTTGGCAAAGTTTATAAGCATTTAAAACTTGTAAGATTTTTCCAAAACATACTATATTTTTAGGTCACCCTGTAGATTGTTTGTAATGAGCCAACCACTTTCTTTCATTAAAATTTAAAATTGTTCTGTTTATACATTATTACGGTATATAAAAATCATTTTTTCGTCTTTTGGATTAAAAGTGTTGAGAAGAAAACCTCATGTCCAACAGCTCCCATAAGCTCGTTCCACTGTGCGCCGCGCCGTCAGACCTGTATCTAACACCCACTCCTCTTTCCTGCAGTCTGCTGTCTACTATAATAGAGAGTGCAGCCATAAATATGTTGAATAGGAGAGGAGCTAAGATATCCCTGCTTAACTCCTGTATTTGTAAGGAAGGGTTCGTCCAGGCATGATGTGACATTCTCGACTTGTTGTTATGGAGGCTTTTACACACTGTAAGAAATTTGTTGGGTACTCCGACGTTTTGCATAATTGCCGAAAGTGCATCCCTGTTTACAGAGTCGAAGTTTTTTGTTAGGTCGATGCGAATGCAACATAAATTTT